TGGTTTAAACACATACTCTGGAAGCTCCCGGCTTGAGCTCCAATCCCACCCCTACTCATCTCCAGCCTGTGACCTCAGGCAAGTAAGTTACTTAACCTCTGGGCTTGAGGTGCCCCCTCTGTAAAATGGACGGACTTCTGTGAGCATTAGATGAGCATGACGTTCGATGAGCTCAGAACAAAGCCTGGCACACATATGGCCAGAACTGAAGTTCCTGGAAACGAGGGTCACTCACTGCCTGTCACACCCACCACTGTGTCCTCCACACCTAAACCAATGCCAGGCACGCAGTGGGCATTTGTTAAAGGAACAAAGAATTGCATGACAGGAAAAATAACCCCACAGGCAACTCTGGAGATTGACCGAGAGGGCTCAGCTTAGGCCCCGGTACAGGGTGTTGGTGAACTTTTTCCTGACCTCTGCCACCCTCCTCCCATACGCTTCTCTGTGTGGTCCCCACTTTAATGATGTGCCTGCAACTCGTTCACCCACCCAGACTGAGGCCACTTCTAGGACAGCCTGCACCGGCAGCAGGAGCCAGAACTCTTCCCTGTTCTGTCAGCCACCTGTGCCCCAACATAGAAACACACAGGTGCTGGGAGAACTTTCAAGAGATACACAGAAGCGAGCCACTATTTTGAAAGGGAACAGATGAACTATGCTGTCTAGGTTTTCCTGAATTTATAACCAAGATTTTAAAAATCCATAATAACCCATACATCCAGGACTTCCACTTCTGGCTACATGCTCAAAGGAACTAAAGGCAGGGTCTTGAAGAAATACTTGCACACCAGTGTCCTAGAAGCATTATTTACAAAACTGCAAAGGTGGAAGCAGCCCAGGGGTTCCTCGGTGAATGAAGGGTGCAGGAAAATGAGGTACAGATCTACAGCAGAGTATGGCTCAGCCTTACAGGGGAAGGAGATTCAGACGCACGTACAACACGGATGAGCCTGGAGACCGCAATGCTAAGTAGATGGAAAGTAGAATGGGGCCTCCCAGGGGCTGGAAGGAGAGGGCCAGGAGCAGCTTCTGTGCAAAGGGATGGAGTTTCAGTTCTGCAGATAAAGAAGATCTAAAGGCAGATTAAGGCCACACCACAGTAAGAAGGTACCTAATGTCACCAAACTGTGCACTTGAAATGATTAAGAGGGAATATTCATGTTATACATATTTTACTGCAATAAAAGATTCCCGTGGGGAAACCCCCACCACAGTAAGTAGATGGGGCATCACATAGGACCCAGCACTGACCCACCACACCATTATCCCCAGTCATCACCCTGCCACTTAATGAGGCTGTAGCTGGTTCCCCATTTCACAGATGAGGAAACTGAGGCTGAAGGGAAGTGAAGCAACTTGCCCTGGGTCAAATAATCAGGAAAAGGCACACTTGGGGCATATAGCCCACTCTTTCTAGACCTGGAATGCAGCCACAACCTGAGGAGGAGACAGTCCCAACCCTGCCCAGGAAGACATAGCCACAGCTCCAAGGAGCCACTTCCCTGGGGAAGGCTCAGCAAGCTTTTGTTTTAGCCACAGACAGGGTAGGTTATGGTGGCTCCTGTCAGCGAGGGAGGCTGGGGTGGCCCATCCCAGTCCTAAGTGATCAGATGGCCCATGGAGCTGTCAATTTCTAGCTGTGGTCAGCCCAGAGAACCAGTCAAATAACAGGGCCCAGGGGCCATGGCAGCTGCACCTGTTACAGCTCCAACTGTCCTGGCCCCTATGTCTCCCTGTTCCCTGAAGGAAATGTCTGGAAAGCAGGCCAGCTGCCACCACTTTTAGCTGCCCAACTACGTAGCCCTGAATGAGTGACTCCCCTGCTCTCAGTCCCTCATTTTCCCCAGCTGTCAAATCAAAGATTGAACTAGATAAATCTCAAGATGATCCACTCACACCTCTTTCCCCTGAGAACCCCCCAACTCCCAGGGTCTGTAAGGATGAGAGAAAGAAGATAACACTCCTGCCATGGGGAGGGGACTCAGGGAGCCAACACAGTAAGGGTGTCTTCCATCCTGGCCAGGCAGACTGGGTGTCAGTCCCAGTGCCACCACTCTGGCCTCAGTTTCCCCTATGAATGATAAAGATAAGGACACCTCTCATGAGATTGTTGAGGTGCCACAGGAGATGCCCAGGTCAGGCCCTGAGCACAGTTCCCAGCTGGCAGGAAGTGCTCGCAAATGTCATTACATTTGCATATGCAGAACAGGAAGTTCTTGGGACCTGGAGAGGGAAAACCCAGGGCCTGGCACCATCTGGGGGACCTCAGGGGAGTCACTTCCCAATGCTGACTCTCTTCTTCTCCAACAAGTACAAGAAAGTGGAACTGGAGCCCACATGAGACACTCCTTAAAGACCAAGTTTCAGGTCCTCCCATCCCACAATGTCCCGGTAAGTGCACAGAGTTAATGGACTGAGTCACCGTGGGCGAAAACATGCTAGACACAGCTGGGTGGTGGTGGGCAGGACTGGGGTGACCAGCTGTCCTCTCCTAGCCCAGTTACTCTCAGCCACTTCTAAGCACATCCTGGGGCCCCCAAGGGGCTGCCCACCTATTCCTGCACCTGTGCAGGAGAATGGGCTGAGCTTGCCAGGGAGCTCTGCCTCTGGTTCGAACAGGACTGCAGGCTTGGCCAGCCCACCTGCCAATCAGGGAGGGGCACAAGGTATGCCTAAAAGCCTGCTCTGCCGAAATTTCCTCTCACCCTCAGGGGATGTGGAGAGAGAAGCTGGTGGCTCAGGTCCAGGCCTCAAGGATCACTTCCCCGCCCCCATGCCCATGCCCTGTATGCTTGCAGAGTGTGGTCTGTGCTTTGAGCTCTGGGCCCTGCTGTGAATTCCACTGATGTCACTGGGGAGGGGACAGTAGGGGGGGAGTTTGGATAAGGTGACCTTGATTGGTGGCTGGCTGTGTGTCCTACCTCCATCTCACTGGCTTTGTGACTACAAGGCTGTGTTCACCTGTAAAAAGATGCCACCAGAAGCCCCAGGGCTTTTGTGAAGATTAAAAGAGTACATTTTATTAAATAAATTAAATTTTAAATAGGATGCTTCCAACAGCACTACTGAACATAGTAAGTATTCAAAAGTATCAACTATTACTACTGTATTTTCAGGGAGGGAGTACAACCTCGGCTCAGAAAAGTTTAGTAACTTGCTCAAAGGCACACAGCTTGAGAGGCCAGCTAGACTTCAATCTGCACCAGGCTGACTCATAAAAATGAAAAAGAAAAGATGCTTTTTTTCAGAATGGCATGATGTCTTAGCAGTGACCTGACCTTAGGCAAGTTTAGTTTCAATTTCTTCATTCATAAAATGGGGAGAAACCAGCCCTGGTCTGAATTCATCAACCACAGATGTACCAAGAGGCTGGATGATGCTATAAACACAGGGCTGATTAGTCAGGGGGCCGCTCCTGGGGACATAAAGGGCCTGTGTCTCCCAGCTCTGCTGCTTCTAATCATGAACCCTAGTGTGGAAATCACCTGCCTCAGTTCCAGGTGTCCTTGCAGAGTGCCTCAGGTGTCCCCTGACATCAGGGATCATTAAGCACCCATAATGTCACCCTTCAAGGAAAGTGTGACTGGCACACGATAGCTGGCTACCATCCCTCTGCTCAGGGCTCCTGCTCTTGGTCCCCATGGACTTTGCTAGGAGGCTATAAAAGCACATTTTTATTTTATAGTTAAATCCTACTGGTACCGTGGCAGCTGAGGGCCAGGCCTTCCTAACCTCTTTGAGGCTCAGTTTCCAATGTTTGAAGAATAGAGACAATGATCTCTAATTTATACGGCTGTCAGAGCTAAGTGGAGTGTCCCCTGCAGTCTAAAGGAGTTATACACCTGCCTGGGTGTCCACAACCTGGTGCACCATGGGGGCTTAGTAAGTATGTTCGGAACAAGTCAATTGCACAGCGGTAATGTGTTGTCTTCAGAGAAGGCAAGTGATCAGACAGAAACCAATACTTTGGATGCACCCCAACAGTCCCACAGCACTCTTGAGGTCAGGGTCACCCCCGGGTACAGTGTGACATAGCCAGAACGACACTCAAATGCACTACAGGCCATGTACCTTGGCTTTGGCATTCAAAGCCTCCAGGATCCCAGGCTAACCAACGCTTCTTATGCACCATCCAACTTTCCCCTTGCCTTCCAAAGACAATGCACGATCCCTGCCTCTGAAAGGGTGGGGAGCATCGCTGAAATGGGAGACTCAAGAGAAGGCAGGGAGCTGAGGGGCAGGTGGAGAGCAGGAGTGAGGCGGAGCTCGGAACAGCTGAAGGCAGGGACACCTGTGCAGGTAAGCTGGAGCCTTTGGCAGGTCCAGAGCCCCCCTTCCCTTTCAGAGAGACCACAGCTGCCCAACACATGCAGGCTTCCTGCCCTGCCACCCCAGGGCCCAGCACCGTGTGGGGCTCAGCATGGGAATAAGGAGCCCAGGCCTGGGAGTTCCTGAAGTTCTGACCCACCCTGGGCTCCAGGCCGCTGGAAGTGGTCCAGCCCACTCTCCTGAGAGCTTGTTCATGGACACAGCTAACCTGCACCCCCTGGTACTCTCACTCACCCCAAGCAAGGATAGACACATTTCAGTCCCGGGCCAAAGAGAAGGCTGGTTTCACTTTGTCAAGCAGGGCCAAGACCACTGAGCCTTTGCCTCTGTCCCTGCCCCAACAGGGCCCCAAGCCCTCCAGCTCTGGACATTTCCTCACACACAGGCCCCACAGCTTTGTCCAGCAATTAGGGCTGAAGGGAAGGGGCCAGTGCCCTGTCCTACTTTCAGGGAAGCTGACTGGCTCCTGTGTCTCTGGTTGGCACTTAGAGCAGCTTCTGTTCAGGACCAGCTGCAGAGGACGAAGACCTAGCTGAGACCACTTCCTTCTCTCCCCGTGCCGCCCCACGTTTGAACAAGGATCTACTTCAAACCAATGGAAAGAGCGAAGGAAAGAGAGGGGAGGGAGTGGGAGCAGGAGGGTGAAGGAAGCCACATCATCTACTTGCCTGAACATCAAACTCTTGCAGCAGGCCGGTGATGGTCTGTGAAGAGACAAGAGAGATCGTCAGTTCCGTCAGCTCCCTCAGGTAGGGAACTAATGCTAGAACTCATGGGGCTCTCCATGGCCTGAATCCCTCTCTCCCCTCCCGCCTCAGTGGAGCTCTGAATTCCTGACAAAGAGATTTCCCTTTCCTTTTGAGCTCAAAGAAGAGAAGTCCAGTAAAAAAAATAATTGAATTAAAAATTAAAAAGACCACGTTAGCTGAGTTCCTTTTGTATGGTAGCCTTGGTAAATAAAAATCTGGAAGTCTAAACTGACACATGCTCCAGAGACTCGGGACTTTATCTGGCTGTTACCTGGGCTCCCGGTCTCCAGCCTACTGGAGCTACACTTTTAAAACTCAAACCGACCATGATCCTCCTCACATTTTTTCCTCACATTTTTTCACAGCTGCCATCATCTAGATTCTGAATTAAAATCCAACCTCTGTAGATAGAAGAGTACAAGATCTTTAAAAATTTTCCTTGATCTAAAAAATAAATAAATCTCAATTTCAGCCTAAATTCCATCTTTCATCAGAGCTGTTCATGATAGGACAGGTTCAGGAAGACAGGGTAGGGGTCCTTGTCCCCTGAGGAGCAACAAGAGTGTGACCCCAAGGAGGAACTGCAGCCTCCGTGGGCCAATGTTCCTAAGAGATATTCCTGGCATATTTTCCTTCAGATCAAGGGATTTTAAACACTCTCCAAAAACCCTGCCCCATCCTGACCCACCACCTCCTGCCAGGAGAGAAGACAGGTCAGTAGAGCCAAATGCAAAGAGGGGCAGGAAATAGAATGGCCTCCTTGGACAGCAGGGTCTGGGAGTCAGAGGACTGCAGATGCCCTGCTGTGGGAGTGAAACAGCTCCACATCCCCTGGGCTGCAGACAAGAACATCAGAGAGTTTTGGTAAAGCGCAGTGGAAGCAAGAGTGGCGACACCTACACCCGGTGTGTGAATGTGTACGCATATGTGAGTATGTGTTGGTACCAGGGACTGAAAGAAGCCATTCGGTACGACTCCAAACTTCAAAGTCTCAACCAGCATACATGGTAGTCCAGGGTGAGGACGGACTGAGGAAGAACTTCCCAACAGCAAGCCTAGCTGAAAACACTTGATGAGTTGGGATTGGAAGGGATTTATGTCCATCTGAACCTTGAAAGAAAAGGTAAATTCCCCTTAGAGATGGACGAGCATGTAACCTGGAATGGAAAAGCTCTTAGAAGTATGTTCCCAAAATAAAATGTTCTGAGGATACCAGTAGGCTGCTTGAAACAAATAAATAACGTCTCTTAAAATGCATTTAACCTTGGGCCCTATGATGCTACATCTGAGGCTTTTGATCTGGGCTGCACCTGCAGACATATCAAATGACGTACACGCAAGACACAGGGAAGGTCAAACACTCTGCAGCCCTGTTTGCAAGGGCAACAGGGAAAACACCATGTCCATGCACTGGGCACTGGGCAGATAAATTTGGTGAAATCCTATGTAGCTGGGAAGAGAAAACTAAGGGCACGGTGGACTAATGCTAGAAAGATCTCCAGGAACGCCAAGTGAGTAAAGCAAAGTGTGGTATGCTGTTTTTACAGGGTTTTTGTAAGGGGAGAATAAGACTATATTGATATGACTCTGTACTACTTCCTGGGAGCTTTTGTTTGTTTGATTGTTTTTTAAGACTGTGTCATGGACCCACAGTGAAGAGGAAATGGATTTAGAGCCTGTTCCATGGGCAGCATGGGTTGGTAGACTGTGCACCACCACCTGTTTTTGTAAATAAAATTGGATTGGAACACAGCAAGCCCATGCCACATATTGTGCACAGCTGCATTCATGCTACAAAGGCAAAGTTGAGTAGCTGCAGCAGAAACTTGGCCCCCTACAGAAAAGGTCTGCAGAATCCGAGCACAGCCTTCTGCAGCTTCCCTAGCCTTGGTTCCTAATCCTAGTGTGTCAACTCTGTACATGAACTTGGGAAATCCCCTTCCCATCTGAGACTGGGGACTTTATCTGCAAAATAGAATAGTTGCCTCCCACATTTGTGATGAAAAGTCCACAGATTTATGAACCTAAAGCAGAATAGCCATGTGTACAGTACAAAGAAATTTAACGAGCAGTCTGTTCACCGAAGTCAGCCAGCCTGGGTTTGATTCCAAGTCCCTCTTTGTAACTATGTGACTAAGAACAAATTGACCTCCTTGAGAGTTTTCTGTGAAACGAGGAAAATCACAGAAGCCAGGATCTAGCCTGACCACAGCTGAGGAGCAGGCATGCAGGATGTGGTCAGTGCATGCTAACTATTAATTTTTAAAGCATTTAGCTGGTTTAGTAGAGTAACTTCGCTAGAGCCTGAGTAGAGCCTGAGCTTCCACATTTTTAAAAGGTGTATCACCACAGGCCAGGTATGAGGCTCAGAGAGCATCGGGATGTGCACATGCTTTCAAAACAATGTCAGCTGTGTGATAGAAAGGCTCATCCCCGTCAGAACAATCAGCGCAGGACAGACCTGCAGCCCAGGCTAAAGAGAAGGGGCCTGTGATGACAGGAGAGGTTCCACCAAAAAAGATAATAAAAGTGACTGCAAAAGATGATCTGCACGGCTCATCTCGTCCATAGCAGGCAAAGTTCTAACTGCTCCGTGTGAATTAATTCCATCCTCACCTGGCCCACAAGGAAGTCCTAGTGTCATCATTTTATGGATGAGGAGCTACAGCCTGCAGAAGTGGCAGGGTTTGTTAGTGGACAGCAAGCTGCAAAGGGTCACAGCCAGGATTTAAACCCAGGCAGTGTGACCCCAGAGATGAGCTTTTAATCATGAGGGAATGAGGCATGAGCCCATGGGCAACTGGGCTCCAAGTTCTATGTTCCAGAATGACAGGATATCAGAGCTGGGGGTGCTCAGAGAACTTCAGATTCAATGCCCTCACTTTACAAATGAGAGCAGTGAGCTGTGGGTAGAGAGACCAAGAGAGATGGGCAAGGGGCCTGACCCAGGGCACCATAGCACTTAGTGGCCAAGCTGGGGCTTGGCCTCTCACCCCTTTGCCTTCAAGGGAGCAGTGGACTCATGTGTGCAGGGATGTGTACACACGTTTCTGCACAGGCTGAGTACGTGTGTATGCACACAGGCATATGGGTGTGCTGTGTGTACATATGCACATATGATGAAGGTTTCCAGAAGCTTCTCCACTCACCTCCCCTTTCTCCACCAAAGGCTTCACCTCGGCAAGGTCCACGTCCTGCATCTCCCGAGACATGTTCCTGCTGTCACCTGCCTGCAAGAAAACAAAGGCCAAGAGGTCAGCCCTCCCTGCTGAGAAGTTTCCTGATGGAAACAAATACGGGGGGGCCAGGGAATGAGAGGACAAAAAGGCTGGACTTTCACTCTGTCCAGCAGCTCTCGCAGCCTGTACCATGTGCTACAGGTGACAAAACAGCCTCTCACACTGGCACCACTGTGGTCTTCCCCCTGGGGGACCAGGACAGTGTATTTCCTGTGAGAGGAAACTGAGGTTCAGAGACACAACTGCCTTTCCAGAGAAGATCAGGCAGGACTGACAGAGGTCCCCACTTCAAGTGTAGGCCCAACCACCACACTTGGGACACCTCTCCCTGCATTTGGTAGAAGGGACCTGCACAGCTGACAACTAAAAGGGAACGACAGGTCACAGGTTGCCCTCCACGTACAGGCACGGTGCAAGCTTCACCTTCACAGCTAGCCACTACAGACACACACAGCCACACACACACTTCACCTCCGCCTCTGTGCAGTACCCAGCCACCTGCTGCAGGGAAGAGGGGCAAGGCACAGGGCCAACTGTAAGCCAAGGAGAGTGACAGGCACTGAATGTTCGATAGGATTTTGAAAGAAAAAAGAACTTCAAGACAAAAAGCACTTTGTGGGCCAAGTCAGGATAGGCCAGAGGGAAGTGACAGTGGCCAGCTAGACGGGAGCAGGGTTCAGGAAGACTCCGGATGCTGGATTCTGCCCTCTCCGACTCCCTGGAAGTGAGGCTTGGACAGGGCAGTGCCACCTACTGAGCACACTTCCCAGAGCTTAATCTGGGAGCTGAGCTATGATCTTAGAGATCCATAGTCAAGTTGGAAAAATTAATTGCCCACCAATACCTGGGGTGGGATACAAAGAATGCAGAATAAGAACACATGTTCTGCCCAGCAGCAGGGGAGTAGGGGAGAAGTCAGTGCCAAGAGGAAGGAGCCCCGGCCAGCCAGCTCACAGATCCACAACTTCTGAACTGAAAACCCCACGAGACAAGCCTGACCCAAGCCTGCACGCTGCTGCCTTCAGAGTGAATCCCAAGTCTCTGAGCTGCCCACAGCCCTTTGGATATACAACAGAGAGCACACAAGGCTCTGAACTCCAACCTGGGCTCCTCTGAAGACCCAGAAACTGCCAGGAGCCTGTGAAACACCTTGAGAGTTCAGCCAGCAGGCACAGGCTGCACAGATCCACCCTGCAAGCCACATGTGGCATTCCGTGGGTGGCTCCTGCTCTCCCCTGGGATGCTGTGGCCTGGGGCCCCAGCATGATCCTGCCCAGTCGATAACCAGCTCCACAAGAATGGCTTTATGCAGCCTTTGCATAAAGTCTACCCTCCAGAACATTCCGAAAACAGAGTTGGTTTTATATTTCTGAGCATTCCTGGGCAGCCGCCAGCTTGGAGGCAGGAAACATGAAAAGCCGGTGTCTGTTAGTCTTGCTAATTCAGCAGGTCCATGGTCCCAAGACTCTGACCCGTGGGACACATCGCCTACATAGCCTAGGGAGCCTTCCAGAAACCCAGGGACTTGGCAACACTACCCTTCATGCTCCAAGTGAAAGGACTTCTCATATCACAGGCTCTTCTTAATACCTTCTGCTCAGCAAGGAGCCCCAGGGTCACCTGGGGGTCTCTAGCTATCTCACAGGTGAGTTTGCCCCACCCGTGAGCTCCTCCCAGCAGCTGGCTCACCTGTCTTGTCCCCACTCTCCCCCTAGCGCCTAGCATCACACATGTGCAGTCAGGCCACAGCTCGCTGGCTGATCCGACGGGCAGTGCTGCTCCACAGCACGCTTTCAGTGAAGCTCACTTTCAGATTGTCACTGAACCAACCACGGAGTTCAGTGCCTTGTAAACAGTGCTATAGCCTAGACTGGTCAGTTTTACTTGCCTTCCAGAAACTGTGATCAGCTTAGAATATAAGGTCAACCTCCAAGGGCTGTCTCCTCCTCCTCTTTCTGGGCAGAAAATAGAAACATTTAGCTTTCATGGTTCCACAGGTGCACTTGGTGAAACCCCCTCACCCCGCCCTATGTGTTTTTTCCTTCCTCCAACTTAGCTTCCCAGAAGGCAGTGGGCTGGACCAGCCTGTATCTCCTGCGACAGTAAGTGCTAGAGAATCTGCTTTTGAGAGCTAGAGCAGCCTCACTGGGCCTTAGGGAAGCCCCGGGGTAAAGCTACTAGGGAACAACACCGGCTTTATCTAGACTGGGGTGACTTTATCTCCTAGGGACATTTGGCAATGTCTGGAGACATTTTTGAGTGTCCCCCAAGCAACTGATTCAGCTGATTTGGAGCCATCCAGTAAGGATCTGGGACCCTGAAGTCTGCAGGGAGAGTGGATGAAACAGAGGAAGCTTTGCACATGTGTGGGGAAGGGGACCAGGCTGGCTTTAGGCCTGGGAGCAGCTCCCATGTCAGTAAAGGCCACCCCTACCCTGTGCCTCCAGACCTGCCTTCACAGAGCACCTGAGTTCCAGGAGGCAGGCTCTGAGCTGCCACGTCCTATGCACAGGTTTCTTCCCACACTAGGTCCCACGTGTCCAAGAGCTCAGTACAAAATTAATAGCACGAGTATGTCACCAAGGACCTACTGTGTGACTGGTCTGGAATTTGGCCATGAACAAACTCCTGCCCTCACTCCTTGGGCTATGTCCCTGCTGAGTGGCAGTTCCACTTGTCCCCCTGGAGGGCAGGGTGTGTGCCGTCCTCACCAGCACTGTACCTCCGGGGCAGAGGTCCTCACACTCAGCCCTGCTGACATGTTACAGAAGCATGTGGGCAGCTTTACAGAACACTGGACTGCCCACCAGATACCCACAGACCATGCCCACAAGGTGTGACAACCAAAAATGTCCCCTGGGTGCAAAATCAGCTCATGTTGCCACCAGCTGATCTTGGCAGTTCCTGGTATGAAAGAGTATCCGGAAAACGTCTGTTAGATACACACGATTGATTGTTTACTTCCTTTACAAGACCTTCTAAAATGTAGATATAATTCTTATTCAGTGTAGTACACAAACATACACACCCACATTCTCTCACACTCTCACCAACACACTTGTTCACACTCACACCCATACTCACTCATGTTCATTCATACACACTCATTCTTACACATTCACACGCACACACTACCTCCACACCTGGTGCGTGTCCTCAGTGTCCCCAACAGATGCAGCGGGAGTGGCCTGGCTGGAGCTGAGTCCAAGGCACACACTCCACCTTCACCACACTCTTCCTTAACACATGCATTATCTCTGGGATTCAAAGTGCCCGCCCCACCCCTGCAAAACGCGAGGCTGACAGAGGACACAGAAGACACTGCCTCACAGCCTCTGTGACTTTCCACCAGCAGGCCAGGAGCTGGGGGGATTTAACCTGGATGGGAATGCTGGCTGTAACCCCCACCCCGCCAAGGGACACCATACCCAGGGGTCCTGAGTGGCTCAGCAAATATAACAGCTGCCCACACCCCCGGGGGAACTCCAGGCCCTGCCCCCTGCCTGCTGCCTTCCAGAAGTCCTAGCTACAAGATGCCCAGAACCCAGCAGAAAGGGCCAAAGAGAACCTCTAGCAGGAGGGGGGGTGCCCTCCCAGCCCACCTGCCCCCGCCTGTCTGAGGCCTCTTTGTTCTCCAAGAAGCATAGACAGAAGCCCCTGCAGACAGCAAAGAGGTCAAGACAGGTCTCCCTGTGTTAAAAGCCCACTTAGCACCAAAAAGAGGGCTCTAGGTCACAGTGCCACCCGCCACACTGGTACACACTGCCACTTCTCTCCTTCCCACCTACTTGCCCAGGAGGGATTCAGAGAAGACCAACAGCAGAGAAGGGAAAGGTGGCCAGGAGCTGGAGGAAGGCTTGTGGCTCAGACCTGGGCATTGCTGCTGATTGTGATCCTGAACAATTTATCTAACCTCTTTGCCTGGGTTTGTTCATCTGTCAAATGGGCATCTGACTCCTGCTCTCAACAAACAGCAGTGGGCTGGAATTAAACAACGGTATGCAGAAGACCTGGTGAGCCGCTGCGTAATTCATCAGAGTGCTTTCCTTTCCTGGTTGCCGTGGAGACAACGGGACATCTGAGGATACAGTCTGTATTTTACAACCCAATAGTCCCACAGCGGCCCAGGAAGGAGTGGGATATATGGGAGATGTTTGGCAAATGCCATAGAGGTTACCAGCCATCAGACCTGACGCACTGTCACTAGAGCACTCCTCCCCACCAGCAACGCCAGTCACTGAGTAACAAAGGCCCATGAGGGGCTCAGCGAATACCTTTCTAGACCAAGAGACCCAGGAGACAGTCAGCAGTTGGCTAGATCATGGGTTCTGGGGGAAGCCAGGGCTGGGATCTGCCCAGAGAAAGAAAGAATGTGACCCCAGGGCTTGGGAGGATAGTAAGCAGAGATATCCCAGGCAATCCAAGGCCACCAGTCCCTGGGGCACTGAAGGGACACACAGAGCCTCAGTGGGGTAGCCGTAATGCTGAACTAGGGTTCAGGGTATGGGGATCCTGCCACCATCTTGCTACATGACTCTGAGCAAGCCATTCCCTCTCTGGGCCTTGGTTTTCCCATCTGTAAAGTAGGCGCAATGCATGTTCTGTGGCCATCACACAGTTTATTATAAACTTGAGGAAACTGAGAACCTAGGGTGGAAGGTGCAAAGAAAAGGATCCTAGGTGTCTTACCAGAGCCCTGCCAGCCTCAACCCAGGCCAGATTAACCCTGCACCTTGGACCAAGGCCTCCCTTCCTCCCAGCCACCAATGCACATCTGTTAAGACCAGAGTCTCGCCGCAGCTCTGCCTCTCCTCTGACCTAAGCTGCCCAGCAGGACCCATCTGTACAACCTCCAGAAAAAACTCTCCTGGGCCTTCCAGAACTTCCACAGGATGGGGCGGATGTGGCATCCACAGAGAAACATCCATGTTCTGTTCTAGAAGTTACAGGATTACCCCCTACCCAGGAAGAGCTGCCACAGGTAGGCAACC